CAGAAAAGTAGGTCCCTGGGGTGTGTCCTTAGGTATAGATTTTGCCTTGGTCCTGTCCTGCCTCGCTCTCTGCTTCTTGGCCTCCATAAGAAGTGCAACTTTGCCCAACTGCATACTTTTTGGTGGTGGTGGTGGTGGTGGTGGTGGTGGGGTGTGTGTGTGCGTGTGTGCATGTGTGCATGTGTGCATGTGTGTGTGTACATGCAAGGGCTGGAGAGATGGCCCAGTAGTTAAGAGTGCATATTGCTCTTGCAGAGGACCCAAATTCTGTTCCTAACACCCACATCAGGAGGCTTAAACCACTTCCAACTCCATCTCTGGAAGATCTGATGCCCTAAGCTGGCCAGCCAATGAGCTTCAGATATCTGCTTGTTGCTACCTTTTCATGCTAGGATTATGCATCCACGATGATACCTGTTTCATTTTTGTCTTTAATGTGGGTGCTGGGGATCCAAATTCAGGTTCTTATCCAAGGCAGGCAGCAACTTTACCAGCTGAGCCGTCGCCCCGCTCCCAACCACATGCACCTGCTGCTATGATGCTCTGCCTCACCACAGATCCACAGCAACGGAGTGGGGCAACCATGCCATGAAGGTTTTGGAACTCTGAGCCAAAGCAAACTTCTTTCCTTATAAACTTCTCTTGGGTAAATACGTGAGTATGAGGAAAGCCCATCTTCCCCCTGCCTCACACACAAAAATTACATTGAATTCAAGTTCTGGAGTCTATAAACAAAGTATTATTGGCAGCAATTCTACAGGGGAAGACTTCAGCCCATTCAGGGAGTGAGTGGCAGTGTGAGGATTTGAACCCATGCCTCTCTGTGTTCACAACACGTGGCTTAGCCAGCAAACCCTACAAATTTGAAAATACATGAGTGGACACTTTGAGAGAGAGCACATAGGTCACAATCTATTAAATGAAGTCAAGAAAGACACCCAGGCTAGGCATGGCTGTGTGCACAACACTGGGAAAGCTAAGGTACGTGGGGTGTTACGAGTTTCAGGTCAGCTTGTGCTACAAAGAAAGAACTTGTCTTAACCCCTCCCCATTCCGGCTATTTAACTGTCAACTTGACAACTTAGAATCGCCTGGGAAAACTGTCTTTATTTATTTAATTATTTTTGTTTTTTGAGATAAGATCTCCCTGTAGCCCCACCTGGCCTGGAACTTCCTATGTAGACCAGGATGGCATCGATCTCACGGAGATCCACCTGCCTCTGCCTCTGAGTGCTCAGATTAAAGGCATGGGCCACCACACCCAGTTTAAAACTGTATTTTTATTTTTTTTTGTCTTTGTGAAGCAGGGTCTCCCTGTAGCCCCAGCTGTCCTGGAACTCACTATGTAGACCAGGCTGGCCTTGAACTCACAGAGATCCTCCTGCCTCTGCCTCCCAAGTGCTGGGACTACAGGTGTGTGCCACCATGCCCAGCTTGTTCTTAAAGATTTCTCTTTTCATTTTAATGATGTTGATGGGGTGGGCTATGGGCACATGAGTGCAGGTGCCCACAGAGGTTAGAGGAGAGTGCCAGATCTCCTGGACCTAGAGTTATAGGTCGTTGTGAGCTGCCCAATGTGGGTGCTGGGAACCGAATTTGGGTCCTCTACAAGAGCAGTACGTGCTCTTAACTATTGAACCATCTCTCCAGTACCAGGAAGACAGTCTAAAGAACTCGTCAGATCAGGTTGGCTTGAGGGAATGTTTATGAGGGACTGTCTTGATAGTTAACTGAGGTGGGAAGACCCAACCTGAGTGTGAGCAGCACCATTTCATGGGCCCTAGACTATATGAAAGGAGAAGCTGCCTGAGAAAGTGAGCAGGCAGCATGGATTTATTTGTTTCTTTCTGTTTTTTTTTTAATTTTTTTAAATTTATTATTTTTATTTTATGTGTATAAGTGTATTGCCTACATGTATGCACGTGCCCTGTGTCGTACAATGCCCAGAGAGGCCAGAAGAGGGCATCGGATCCCCTGGAACTGGAGTTACAGATGGTTGTTAGCCACCATGTGGGTGCTGGGATTTGAACCTGGGTCCTCTGTAAGAACAGCCAGAACTCTTTACCACTGAGCCATCTCTCCAGCCTCTCTGCTCTTGACTGTGGATGTGGTGCAGCCTGTTTGAGCTCCTGCCTTGATTTTCCCCCCAATGATGGACTGTAACCTGGAATTGTAGGCCAGATAAATCCTTTCCTCCCCCAGGCTGCCTTTGGTCATAATTCTTCTTAGGCTTTTTGTTTCTGTGAGTTTTTCTTCTTTAATATATATATATATTTTGGGGGACAGGGTCTCCTAGGTATCCCTGGCTGGTATGGAACTAGCTATGTAGACCAGGGTGGCCTCAAACTCAGAGATCCACCTGCCTCTGCCTCCTGAGTGCTGGGATCAAAGGCATGCACCACCATGCCTGGCCTGGTCATGATGTTTTTATCACAGCAACAGATATTAAACTGGAACAGATTCCTTCCCACAAAAGAGGAACAGGCTATGGACTTCCATTTCTACCAAATGACTTCATTGGAAACTAGAAGCCTGACTTCCAGCCCCAAAGACACTATTAATCTTCAGCTTGACCTTGGGCAGACAGGTCTGGTACAGTGTTTGCTGCAGATATTTTGGAATTAGAATCCCCTTGGTTCCAATTTCAACTCCGCCACTGACTAACTGAATCGACCGCTTCCATTTCTGTGATCCACCAACAATGGGACTTTCCTTACATGGTGTTGGGTGGCTTGAATAGAAATCCCTACGGTATCCTCCTCTTGCCCCACTTTTTCTGGCTAGGCTGTCATTTTTCCATCTCAGAAACCATGAGCCCTTTCTGCTCTGACACTCTCAGATCTTGATAACCCACATGTCTTATTTTAGCTCTGTCTGGCTCTACATGCTTGATTGGAGTCTGCATGGAGGTTGCACCCTGCTTTCCCTGGAAAAGGTCTTATCAGGTTAGGGTGAAGGCTCAGGGAAAGTCTGGCCTAGAGAGAGCTGGGGGAGGAGTGGGAATATCCTTCGGCAACTGTCCACATGGTGAACTGGAAAGATGGAGCCCAGGGCAAGCGATGGGGAGCAGAGTGATAGGGAAACTCAGCATGGGCTGCATTTATAGCATGGGCTGTGTTTATAGCATGGGCTGCATTTATAGCATGGGGTTTGTTTAGAAAGTTTCAGCTCAAGGGGCTGAGCAGCTGTCTCAGTGGTTAAGAATCCTTGCTGTGTAAGCATGGAGACCTGAGTTTCAATCCCTTACACCCCAGTAAAAAGTTAGGCATGGCTGTGCATGTCTGTAACTCTAGCATTATGGGGCATATACAAGCAAATCCTCAGAGCTGACTAGCCAGCCAGTCTAACTGAAACGGTAAGCTTACGTTCCAGTAACAGACCCTTTCTCAAGGCAGTAAGGGGGAAAGCAATTGGAGACGGCACTCAGCATCCTGCATTGGCCTCCGCATGTATGTGCACAGGTGCACAAACTGCACACTCATATACATGTAAAACACACACACACATCTTAAAACAGCTCAATTGATGAGCTGGAGAGATGGCTCAGTGGTTAAGAGCACTGGCTGCCCTTGCAAAGAACTCATGTTTGGTTCGGCTCCCAGTGCCCACATGGCAGCTAACAATCATCCTTAATTCCAGTACCAGGGGATCCGATGGCCTCTTCTGACCTCTGAGCGCACTGCATGACATGGGTGCACTTTCAGACATGCAAGGAATACACTTGTACACATAAAATGAAAATAATAAATATATTTTTTAAAAGCAGTTCAATTACAAGGACTTGAATTGGGATCATTGGACTGGACTGATGGGCTGAAATATATTGGAGCTTTGCTGAGCTGATCCAGACTGAATTGGATTGGATGGAACTTGAGGGGTAAGAGTCCCCAAAGAACTTGACCAGGACCTCTGGATACAGGCATCATCTGGAATCAGTTCATGCGGGGATCTTGGATGCTAGGATTCAGAACCCCACTTTATCAGGTGAGTGCTAACAATGCCTCTTGTAGAAGTGTTAAGAGATGGAGTGTGAGATCACACATGTTAAAGAAACTCGCACCTCAGAAGAAAGAAGGAACAAATTCTGCTCTCTAGCCATCGACATGCAGGGTAAAGTGATATCTGAAATATACCCTGAAATGCATAAAAAAACTAAGAGAGATGGATGGATGGTTAGAAACTGAGGGCTGGGATATGGTTCAGCTAGTAGAGGGTTGCATGCATGAGCACCATATAAACTAGGTGTGGAGGTACATGCTTGTAATCCCTGCACATGGGAGGCAGAGGAAAGAACTTTTGATCAAAAGTTCAAGGTCATCCTCAGCTACATAGTGAGTTTGAGGCTGGCCTGGCCTATGTGAGACCCTGTCTCCAAAAAATGGAAAAGGGAGGGAAAAGAAAGGGAGGGAAGGAGAGGGGAGGAGGGAGGGGAGGGGAGGAAGGAAAAAAGAAACGTAGAGGCCCAGATACAGGAAATTGGACCCCCCCCCCGTAACAGATCAGCAACTGATCTTTAGTGATGGGTCTGCAATTGTTCACCACAAAACTGTTGACTTGTTTGAAAAAAAACCAAAACTCTGTAAACTGTTAATTTCTAAAATAACAGTGATGGTTAAAAATATAAATTCTGGAGGCGAATGATGTGAGGATGAGTCCCAGCTCTGGCCCTCACGTGTGTGGCCCTGAGCAAATGATTTGACCCTTCTGAGTGTTTGCTCCTCTGTCTGTAAAATAGGGCTATTAGTAATCTTCACCCCGTGGGGCTGTATCTGAACACAGTCTGGCATCTAAGTAAGGAAGAAGTTATGATTTGACCCTCCAAACAATGTCATGCAGTCAGCACTGTGCTAGGTCTACTTTGCAGAGGAGGAAAACGGAGTTCCCAGAGGCTGTACAACGGCTCCCAGATGACATCACAAGGAAATCACTAAGTGAAAGTCCTGTGGCTCCTGGAAGTTCACACAGTCCCCTCTCCCTCCTCCCTCCAGCCCTGGGCTCACCTGAAAGGATGAAGAAGATTCCAGAAACGAAAGCCAGAATGGTCCTCTGTGGGCGGATGTGGCCGATGTTGCTGATGACGAAGGCGGTGAAAACGAGGAAGAGGCTGACCATGGGGAAGGGAGTGGCGGTGCGCACAGTCTCTGCGGGCAGGTGGACCGACAGGGCGGGGCGGGCGTGAGGGAGAAATCTCCACTGGGCCACCTCTTCCCTTCCCCTTCATTTCGCTTCCCTTTAGCTCCTCCCATTTCCCACTGACTCCACCCCTGATAAACCCACTGCTGACTCCACCCCCAACCAGGCCACGCCTCCTAGTTTGACCACGTCAGGGTCCTGCAGACTCCGCCCCATCCAGGCCCTGCCCTTTCAACCTGGCTCTACCTCTTCCCAAGCTCTCACTTGAACCCCACTCTTTCCTTCGTCCCGCCCTTTCTCCCCAAACCCGCCTGAGCGCCCTTCCCTGCTTCCCCTCACTCAGAATATTCTCCGTGTTTTCCGTCACCAAGTTGATCTCCGGTTCTAGAAAGTACTCCGAAGCCACACAGCGGCCCTTCTCCCGACCTGGTGGGGAGGAAGACAAGAGAGCAAGGATGGATAAGAGATTCAGGAATTCCCAGAGGAGCTGCCAGGGGCATGACAGACGGGGTGTGTGTGTGTGTGTGTGTGTGTGTGTGTGTGTGTGTGTGTGTCCCGGGGTGGAGATGCAAGGCCACACCCAAAGTTTACAGTTTGCCCTGCCCTTAGGGTTGGAGAAAGGGACCTGAGCCTGCGAGGTCTGGCGCTGTAGGACTGCGTTCCCAGCTACTGGGGAGACTGAGGCAGGACGATTGCAAGTTCAAGGCCAGCCAGGTTACATAGATTAAGACCAGACTGGACAATTTGGTAAAGTCCTGTCTCAAAATGAAAAGTAAAATGAGGATTGGGGCCATAGCTCAGCGGCAGAGCACTTGCCAAGCATGTGTAGAAGCTCTGGGTTCAATCTGCAGTACTGAAGAAAAGGGGGGCGGTTAAGGGTTGGGGAGTTCTTGCTGGTTGCCCAGAAGATTGAATAATGGAGGAGGGTTGGGCTGGACCTCCTTGTCCTAAGTGAGGAGAAAGCTGTGGATGCTCACTATGTAGCTTAGATCCTCCCAAGTGTTAGTCTACGCAGTGCTGGGAATGGAACCCAGGGCTTCCTGTATGGTAGGCAAGCATTCTACCAACTGGTCTACAACTCCAGTCCTTGGCTGCTGATTTTTCTCTCTCTTTTTTTAATATATCATTTTCTTATTATTATTTTTATTGTCTTTTACATGTATGAGTGTATTGCCTGCATGTGTATAAGTATACCCATGTCATTCAATGACCATGAAGTCAGAACAGGGTGTTGAATTCCTGGAACTGGAGTTATAGACGGTTGTTAGTCGCCATGTGGGTGCTGGGAATTGAACCCAGATCTTCTGCAAGAAAGGCCAGTTCTCTTAACCACGGAACCATCTCTCCGGCCCCATCATTTTCTTTATTTATTGGGGAGAGGGATGTGAGTGCACCAAGATGTGAGTGTAGGGATCAGGAGACAACTTGAAGAAGTCAGTTCTCTCCTTCCATCACATGAGTCCTAGGGTAAAACCCTGAGTCCTGGGGTGAAACTCAGGACATCAGGCTTTTCGACAGGTACCCTTACCAGCTGAACCATCTCCCTGGCCCCCAGACTTCTAATAGAGTTTTCGAGAGTGGGGAAGGAAAGCTAGAAACCCAGATTTTGAGCATCTGGACTTCTATTCCTTAGAAGGAATAAAGGGCAGGCATGAAGTCTGTGTGCTGAAATTTAACTTCCAGAGGAGAAATGAAATAAGCTTCTGGGTTCTTGGAATCATGGTATGTGATTATGGATAAGGACTCTGAGGTGGTGGAAAAGCACAAGGGAGGGAGGGTAAGTGGCGCACCTGCAAAGAAGCAGACTCTCCACAGGCCAGCGTGCAGCGCCATCTTGACCTCGGTGGTCTGGTTCTGCGGCAACACGGTCCCCTCCTCCATGTACAGCCAGTAGTCAGTACTGACTGCGATGCCCACCAAGAGCAGGCCGCATGCACCAAACACACTGCTCAGCAGGGTCAGGGCACGGCTGCTGCAGTGACTCATCCTGAGTGGCGGGGGGCGCCCTGCGGGGCCTGTGGGACAGGGAGCTGTAGTGGAGAGCACCGGGAACAACCCAACAGTGTCCCCAGTCCCATGCACTCAGCTGGGACACTAGCCCTGGCCAGAGACACAAACTCCAAAACCAAACTCTCAAGTCTGTCTTCTGTGCCCTGAACCCCCTCCCCCCAGCCCTGAATGCTAAATGGAGACACCAACTGTTGACTCCTAACTTCAGGACTGAGCCTCCCAGACCCACCTGCTGTACTCTGCTGCTCTGGATCCAAATCCCCAACTAGAGATAAGATTTCCAACCACATGTAGATTATGGTGGTCCAAATCTTAAATACCAGTACTCAGGAGGCAGAGGCAAGTAGATCCCTGTGCAATTGAGGCCAGCCTGGGCTACATAGTGAGTTTCAGTGGCCATAAAGAGACCATCTCAAAAAAAAAAAAAAAAAAAAAAATCCCACCCACAATCTTCACACACAACCCGGAGAAGAAACTTTTTTTTTTTTTAAAAAAAAAAAAAAAAAAAAAAAAATTCCAACCACAATCTTCAAACCAGACCAGGAGATGAAATCTTGGCTTGAGTCTAGATTAGTGATCCTGACCTGAACATCACTACTCTAATTAGCAATTGTAATTCCAAATTCTCAATCCAAAACAAGACTCTCCAGATCTAACTTCCTGTATTGACTTGAGAGCCTACTCTGAAACCAGACCCTAGCAGAGTCCTTAAGGCTTGAGTGTGAGCCAGAACTGAGAAACTGGTATTCTAATCAAAGAGCTTCAAATCTAAGACCTGATACCCCTACTCTTACTCTGTGCCTTGATTCAAACCCTCAGCTGTGAACACTAGGCCCTATCAAGGACCAATCACCCCAACTTTAAGCAGAACTGAGATCCCTAGAGCTGGGGTACTAGGCTTAGATATTGGATGCTGAACATCTTGATTTGTCCAGAAACTGTTCCAAGCCACCATCTTAACTGCATGCTCTGATCTGGTATACCAAAACCTTTAGACTTGTCTCTGAATTGTATTTGGTAATCTCCAAAGTAGGTCACCATTCAGGGTACCTTTACCCTATAACTCTGGCCTTACACACTGAATTCAGGACTGCCTAAGACTTTGACCAGAATACTTATCCTAAGCTGAAACTATTAGAGATTTATTTTGACCCTCAACACTCCCAATCCCCCCCCAAGTACCAGTACACCTGTGGGGTCAGAGAACAACCTCAAGTGTCAGTCACTTTCCACCTTGTATGAAATAGGGTCTCGTTCACCCCTGTATATGCAAGGCTAGATGACCCACAGACTTCTGGGAACTTTCCTGTTTCCACCATCTCACCATGGAAGCAATTCATTAATATGCTACTGTGCCCAGCTTTCTGTGGGTTCTGGGGATCCAAACTCAGATCCTCATGCTTGTGTGGCAAGTGGTTTATCCTCTGAACCATCTCCCTAGCCGCCCCCTAACACCCGCTTCTAACACAGAGAATTTAACTGTGGGGCTGGAGAGATTGCTCAGTGGTTAAGAGAAATTTCTGTTCTTGTAGAGGACGTGGGTTCAGTTCCCAGAACCCGCGTGACAGTTAACAACTGTAACTCAAGTTCCAGGGGATCTGACACCCTCTTCTGGCCTCTGGGAGCACTGCATGCATGTGGTGCAGTATACATGCAGGCAAAACACTCATACACATTAAATAAAAACAAATTAAAAGAACCTGACCACAGCCGGGTATGGTGGCACACACCTTTAATCCCAGCACTGGGAGGCACAAGCAGGCAGATATCTGTGAGCTTAAGACCAGCCTGGTCTACATAGTGAGTGCCAGGCCAGCTGGGGCTACAGGGAGGCCCTGTCTCAAAAAGACCAAAAAAAAAAAAGAACCTGACTATGAACTTCTAACCTTCCAACTCTGATCCCATGTCTTGAAATCAATTCAGTCTACATCCAGAACTCTAATTCTACCTTCCCAGATCCAGGCAGGTACCCGAACCTGGGCTGCTGGAACTTGTTCACAGACTATTGGATTCTGGGACATTAGCACCCAAAATCCTAGAGCTGTGAAATTGAATACAGACCCCAAAATATCAAGACCATGAGCTGGGACCCTCTAACTCAGCATCCAAACCACACACAGCACTCTAGTAAAACCAGGGTCCCTTATCCTGCAAACAAGAGGCTAGCACTTTGAACTGAATTTCCAATCAGGAATTCCAGGACACCCCCCAGCACATCCCGCAAATTCCCTTACCAGACTCTGGACCCTGATTTCCTATACTAGAACTTTCCAATCAGCCACATCTCAGCAGTGCACCTTCAAACAAGAAATTCAGCCAGTTCCTGGCCTAGACTTCCCAAATTCCAATGAGGAGGTCAGAAATTCCAACGGGGGGTGGGGGGGGCAATCCGGAAGGGTTCCAAATTGTTACCTACCTCAGCCAGAGACCTCTATGTCCGTGGAGACTGGAGATACCATTCTCTTTTTAACTAGAGTTTGAGACACTTCCCCCGGAAAACATTTTCCCAGTAGAGTAATTAAAACGTGAGACTCCATTTTCCTCAATCAGAATTCCTTCAACCTTGAAAGTTTGCCTCACCCAAATAAAGACCCTAGAATCGGAGTCACCCTCCCCCAAACATCCTGGCACTCTCAGCCTCCAGGGCCCCTCACGTCGGTCCCCCGCCTCCTAGAGGACCCGGCGATCTAGATTCTGGAAAAGCTCGGACTGGCCTGTCTGTCCCATCCCCCCCAGCGGGTGGCTCCGGGGCTTGACCGCCAGCTGCCGGCTTCGCTTCCAACCCTTCCAGCTTGGTAACAAGCAACATTCACTCAATCGTGCAGATTGTCAGGTAGCTGAGCTTTGCTTCCGGGTTTGCTCCTCCGACTGGTAGTGGGGGACTTAGACCTTCTACACTCCCCTCACTCCCCACGTTTGGCATCCCCTCCGGTTCCGATCCAGTTCTTCTTCTTTCAACCTGACCTGCTCTGAGTTCTTTATTCTGCATACATCCTCTGGGACACCCCATCACCACCACCATCGCCAGGCCTAGAACCTCCTTCTACATTACCCCAGCCTCTCCTGGATCCAGATATTTGGTTGGCTTATTCCTCAATGTCCTAGTCCAAACTCCATCTCCCTTCAGTCTCTTAAGAGACCGTAACTCTTTGCCTGTCTAGGGACCCTTTCCCAGACTTACGGTCTACTCCTAACCGGCGTGGGCCCTCGCCTTCCACTGGTGCTGCCTTCCTCAAAGACCCTGCCTAGAACCTCCCCAGTGGCTCCATCTCTAAAACCAAACACAAGGAGTTTGTTCTGTGTCCCCGGGACCCTCGGACCCCTGTCCTCCGGGATCCGGGAGGCCCAAATATGCCTCCATCCTCTCAAACCTTCCCAGTTAGGGCGTTGGGTCCACCAGAACCCCACCCCAGGCGCCACTCTAACCTCCTTGAACCCCAGCTCCCTCTCGGCTCCGAGCGGTCTCGCTAGGCGCCCCAGTGCCTCGCACGACCCTCCCCCTCGAGCTCACCTCTCTCAGGGCTGGGCGGACGCTCCGGGCCGCGGGCCCCGCAGCCGCATGACCGGCCCCGCGGCTTCCCCCGGCCGCCGCCGCCGCCACCGGGG